TTTCTTGACCAGGTGTTTCTCTACTTCCTCTCTACAACTACACAAATTTAAACTGCTTAAACCCTCTTGGATATTTTTGTGCTTTAATTGTATGGATCTGCTAGGAAGTTACCAACAGATCCTCATTTAACTGAAGCAGTTAAACCCAAATCAGATTTGAAATTCTGTTTATAGCATTATTCAAGAAAACTTTACCTGAACAGATGACTGTTTGTGTAAGAGCTGGTGGAATATGTGCCACATGCCTGTTGACTATGCATATGTAATACAGTATCTTGTTCTTTGCAAAGGAAAAACATAAGCAAAAGCATTTGATAATAATGTGGCAATTTATGCAGAGAGTAATTTATTCATTAAATTTTTCGTATGTCTACAGACTAAATCTACTTTTGCTCATGAGGAAGAAATCACCAAATATAAAGGGCTGTTTTCAGCATGGAAACAAAAGTATTTTTACTCTAAGCACAAAATGTCACTTGAAAGTGGCGGGACTACCAGATATTTTGGGGCGCTCAGAGATTTCAAGCTTATAATGAGGAAATAAGTTTATAAAAATACTCTCTTTTTCCATCCTATTTTAAATGAAATGAGAAATCTAGTCACTCATGATATGTGGTGTAAAATAAAAAGTGCGCACAAAGACAGCCTCTTTCCTTTTTACTTTATTTACTTTCAGCATAAGCTGTTTTTTTTTCATGCCCCTTTGGTTACGTCTGCACAAAGAGTAAAGATGGCAGGAGGGTTGGAACTAGGTGATCTTAAGTTCCTTTCAAACCCTAACTATTCTATGATTATGTTGCTTTCTGTCTGTCTTTTGACATCATGGACCTCCCTAGTTAACTAATTGACTATTTGTTTTACTCACTAGCCATAAATCAAAACTGTGTCCACACTGAAGTTCCTCTTTCATAGTGGAAAATCTCAGGGAAATGGGTTTTGGTCTAAACTGAGGGTAAATGAAAGGACTCCTATTGGCTTTGGGAAGCTCAGGTTAGATCTAAGGCAGAAGCTCTTCCCTGGGAGGGTGCTGAGGCGCTGGCACAGGGTGCCCAGAGAAGCTGTGGCTGCCCCATCCCTGGCAGTGTTCAAGGCCAGGTTGGACACAGGGGCTTGGAACAAGCTGCTCTAGTGGAAGGTGTCCCTGCCCATGGCAGGGGTTGGGACTGGGTGAGCTTTAAGGTTCCTTCCAAGCCAGACCATTCTGTGATTCTATATATTGGGTTGTCCTGCGTTCAGCTCTAACAGTTATTTTTTTCTCCTTAGTAGCTGTTGCAGTGCTGTGCTTTTTGGATTTAGTACGAGAACAATGCTGATAGCATACCAATGGTACAGCGTTTGTTTGGAGAGGATCTGAAAGGCTCAGTGGGCAGCACAAATCCTGTTCTGATTTGCCTTTAGCCTTTCCATTCAGAAAGTTGATGGAAAGTTGCATGTTATCTAACTGTAGTATGATACTGTCACGTTGTTGTCATTGCTACCTGCTGTTGGTGCAAGGGAAATGGGTTTCTGTCTTTCCTCTCTTTTCAGAGCATTCTATGTAATAACCTCCTTTCAGGTAATAACCTCTGCAGTACTGCATCCCACAATGGTGGTGATGATCTGAATTCCACTGAATCTCCTCCTGTTGATTTGGATGCAGTAGAGTCAGGAACAGATTCTTAAAACTCCGAATGGCAGTCCATGGGGTTGTCTGATGTGATGCCCTAATGAAAAGGAAGTGTATTATTGCTTCTGTAACCCACAGAGGTATGTTGTAATGTCACAACTGTGAAAAATGCATTTTCCTCTCGCTACAAAGTCTCTTCAGAAAGCACATCAGACGTGTGAGGATAAAGGCTGTGTGCAAGATTTGACCTTGCTGCCAACTTTCTTTTTTGCCTCCCAGAGAGCAAGGATTGCTCTGAAGCGTTTCCTCCCAGTCAGATAAATTCTCCCTATCCCTAAAAGTTTGCTTCAATCAAAATTCTTCATTTTGAGTTGGGCATCGTACCACAAGGTGGGCAGACAAAGAGAAAATGTAAAATGTAAGCCGTCAGGTTGCAAGAACAAATCTCTTGTTCTTACGCAAACATAACAGAGGCATGTGTGTGTTCTGAAGCAATATGAACTACTTTTGGAGGCAGTCACAGTTAAAATCTTAGACTCCGTGGAAGGCAGAGCTCCACTGATTTTGAAGGAAATCTGTTAATCCACAATGACGGTATGTCTGACCTGCATTTCTGTTGCTGGAAGACGGACCAGGAGAGCTGCTTGTCCTGCCTGTTACACAGGTACATACTGAACTGCTGCGGGTTTTGGTGAGCTCAAGTCTATCCAACCTAAATACTGCATTAGGCATGGGGCGCGTCTGTGGACTGTGCTGGGACAAGGCAGTCAAAGCGGGTGAGCAGGGAGGACATGTGCCGTTCCCACCAGTGCCAGGGCACGTCACGGACGTTGGTCAGTGGGAGAGGGAGAGCAGCAGCCATGAGAGATGAGGAGAGATCGTGAGGTGAGAGCAGGGGCAGCCATGAGGGGTGGCCATAAGGGGGCATCTTGCGGGGAGGTGAAGGGTGGCCACGAGGGGTACAGGCCCCTAGTGGCCCCAGGGTACCTAGTGTGGGCCACTATGGGGGGGCAGATGTGTGGCTGTGACTGGAGATCATAAGGGGCAGCCATGAGGGGCAGATCAGTTTGCCCTCAGTGACATGGGTTAGTGGTGGGCTTGGCAGTCCTGGGCTCGGTGACCTTAAAGGTCTTTTCCAACCTGGTTGATTTTCTGAGTCTGTGATTCTAAGATTTTGAAGCTGGAACAAGTCAAAGTTCAGGTTGCCTGATAAATATGAGCTTGATTCCTTTGGGCTATATGCATTAGGATTTACATTTTAATAACATTGTTAAATTATTTTTTTACAGTAGATTTTTGCCCAGTTGATTCTGTAGGGTGAAGCTCCTTTAGCACTAAAGCCAGCTCTGTTTTGAGACAAAAGACTGTTGCTGGTAAACTCCTTATCTGCAACTGTCATAGAAGCTGGAAAGTGGACTACAGATGAGACGGGATACTTTAGCAAAGAGGATCATTAGTATCATCTCAAAGCAGCTGCCTGCTCTCATAAAGAATGAATTTGACTCCTACACATGCCACAAATGTCCTCTGAGATCCTTTCCAAGATGGTCACTACCTCTGAAAACCTAGTTTCTGGTTGTCTGAATGGGAGTTCTGGGATCTGGTCTGTCAAAATACAGTCTCTCATAGCACTGATGGGCATTGGTGAAAGCTGTATTTAAAACACAGGGCTATGAAAACTGTGTTTTTTTCCTGCTGTCCTGACAGAAAGTCAGGTGATGACCCAATTAAAAAACTTAAATCAAACCTAATACTTTAACTTGGAAACATTTTGTACACACTTGAAGCAGGGATGTGATCCTGAAACTCAGATGTATGCTTTAATATAAGGCAGTTCTGTCACCCCAGCTACAAAATGATCTTTAAAGGGGATGACTGCTTGCTTGAACTGAAGGAAATTTGGACAAACAAAGTGAATTCACATCAGAATTTGATGCCTTTCTAACAGAAGGCATGATTTTGCACTAATTGTCTTCCCCTTTCCAGGAGGGCTCCCTCTGCAAGTGTAAAGCCAGCTGTAGAGCTTTTCAGCTCACATCTTTTCAACCTGTGTCTGCCTTTCAGAATAAGGATACTTAGAGGTGCCACTGAGCATGTTGATGTTGACTTTTCACAGCTGTTTTCAGGTCTTTGATAATAAGAACACATGTAGGTTTGCTGAGTTGACATTGTTATGCAGAGTTAAGGACTAAACCAGACGCATAGAGCAAGAAAGAAACTATAGAATGTTGCACTGGTATAAGATGTTAATTGCTATAATGATAGTTGATTGCAAACTGATACAAATAACTGGTTTTGGGCTTTGTCACCTCTGGTTATAATTCACGAAAGTATCATTCACGTGTCTTTTCCAAGACAAATATACAGCTTTATGTACTGTTTTCCGTGTTTTCACATGGATTTGTGATTTTACAATTATGAAGTGAGTTTTTTCAAACCAAAAGACCAAATAAGTTTAGTGATTACAATCTACTGTAGCCTGAAAAGAAATACCAGGTTTCTGTTGTGAATTTCTCACTTCTTACCAACATGAGCCTTCAGTCAGTGTCTGGTCAAAAAGATACTTGAGGATTCCTTCGTTATGTGTTCTTTGGGTATATGACTCACCATAAATAAGTCAATAATTGCTGCATCTTGATAACCTCAGCGTAGCAGAACTGTTTTATCTATGTGTATGTATATAGCAAAATCTTAAATGTAAGAATCATAATTATTGAGTAAAATTGACATAGTTGCTGCAGTTTCATGAAACTTAATTAAACCTGAATCCAATGGATTGATTAGTATGTAATAGAACAACTCCTCATGCTAAACCTCTGCTCTGTAAGTAGCTTCCTTTCTTTCAGTGGCATTATTAGATTAAGCAAGGATCTGAAGGTTTGAATTCACATTTTTCTAAATTCTTTTTGTGTTTCCATTAACTGTATTGTCTGATCTTGAAAAAGCTAGCTTTATATTTGCAGTTCTTTTGCCGTAACAGGTTACCTCATTTCAAACCATAAGTCATTGTTGATGACAGTCTTCTCTCAGTGTGGAAAAATCCTCCAGGAATGTTTGTGTAATGGAAATTTCTACGCGAAGATAATTTTTGGAAATACTGCTTGATCTTAAGGGTTATTGAAGAAGTTGATATGGTTGATCATGGAGACGACCAAAGAACTGTTCATGAGGGGAAGAGATGTGTAGAGTGGAGACCGAGGAATAATAATAACGCAGTAATCTTTGACGCGTTTTCTCTGCAGTTGATGTGTAGCACATGATGTTCTCTGAATCCCAGTAAATTATCAGTTAATATAGTAAAAGGATGTGGAAACACAGAGGCTGATGTATTCTGGCGTTAAAATTTCAGGCAATCGTTTTTCAAACCCAACCTTTGATGTTTTCATTGTCTCAGGTTCCCAGTCTGAACCTCCATCGTGCAGTGCCAGTTCCATCACTTGCCCATCTGCCTGCACCTGCAGCAACAATGTGGTGGATTGTCGAGGAAAGGGCTTAACAGAAATTCCAGCTAACCTCCCAGAAGACATTTGGGAAATGTAAGTGCCAATGCAATGCACCATTCTTTTCCATGTCTCTCCATTTTCAGTCCCTGTCATAGCCTCCTGTGTGGAAGAAAGGAACATGTTCTGAGCAGATATTAGTTAGGTACATTGTAGTTCATTTCTTTTGTTTTTTTGATTGTTTGGATTGTTTGAGTTTGTTTGGAGTTGCCCTAAGCAAGATGAAATTCTTGGTGTATTATGTCTGGAATGTGTTTCCATCTCACAGATATAGCATTACAGTTCTATAGTCAGGAAAAGGAAATGCACAGTCCCTTTTCTGAAATCAAATTGTTTTATCTTTAGTTGGTGAAGTCCCTGAGAGTTCGTAGGGTTTTTTGTTAGCTTGGCAAAATGCATTTGTAATGAAGTATGACATGAGAACACATTGTCCCTGCTGATATCACCTCCTATTTCTTGTCTTCACATTTTGTTATTCCCACTTCTTTCACATTTTTGTGACTTTTCTGTGTTGTGAAATCAGATGGTGGATTTACAGACTTGTTTGTCTTCACTGCCTTTAGGAATTGTAATCATCTATCTTTGTGTCCGTGACTGCGTACTACTGTGGTCCTGAATTACTGTTACAATAAACCGAGTTGCTTTTGGTTAGTCCGTAGGGAATGCTAATCAATCCTTTTCCTGTTAGGTGCTTGTCATACAGAGGTTACTGGCATTCAACCAGCATTTACAGTCTACAGAGGATGAATTCAAATATTGGTATAGTCACTGGATTATTCAGCTTCTCCTTGTTGTAGAAATACTGCTGCAGAGCAAAACTCAGTAGCATAAAGTTGAAATGCTTGTATGTAGTCTGGCTCACTATGATATGCCAGAAATGTGACATTTGTGGCCAAGAAAGATGATGAGCTTCATTGTTTACAGGGGATCCACTCTACACAACCACTCCTCTAAGTCACTTTATCAGTTGCTTTTACAATGTAAGAATCACCTCAAATTTGTTCGGATTGCTACCTCAGCACAACAGTTTAGAGGCAGCTTATGCTCAGTTGTGCATCTCCACAGAACAGATATGTTAGAAATGAAAAAACTAGCTCAGTAAATGCAAAAAATAAAAACATCTTAAAATTAACATTATTGAAAATGTATCTAGAGCATGTAAAGATGTTTACAGGAACTATAAACTCTTATGCAAGCTGTTCTGAATGCCTGTTATCCTTCCTCATGAGGAAGTCCAGAATGTGTCGATTGTGTTCGCTTCCAGTGTATTGCGGCACACAGAATATGCATGACATACTTGGTTTTCTGTGCATGAAAGTCAGTTAGAATTCTGCTGAAAATATATATGTGTTTGGCACACTGAGAATATTCAGTGTTTAGTCCTGTTTCCAGTTCTGTCAGATGGCCTCCAAATTTTCAGAAGTGGCTGGAATGAATGGTGCAACAATGAGAGTCAGAGGATGAAATTGGTCCAGACCTGCTCACAGATGAGGGTTGGGCTAGGAGAATTGGGAAGACTGAGGCTGGGGTGCTCCAGCCCTCTCCATACAGCGGCACACCTCAGTGTAAGAAAGCAAGTGAAAACATTCACCTTCAGTGTGCTTGTAATAGCATTGAGTATGAAAGTCCTGACTCCATTTTGGTTGCTCCAGCTCCCAAACCTAACCCCTGCAACTTATAGTAAAAGCAACTTAGAAGGTCTCCGTAGGAAAGCAGGAAGTGAAGGAAGACTTGGAGAGCCTTTAGATCGGATGATAATGTAGGAAGTCAAGATGCATGTAATATTTTAAGAAACTTTCATAACCTGAAGGTTATAAACCTGCTAGATCCCTACAACACCATGTAAAGTTCTGAGCACATGGTTTAATGGTTCAGATCCGTCAGACGTTTTGCACTTCAGTCAGTACTTATTTGATTCTTTGTCTGTAGATAAGCCTCTTACATTGTTCTGATCCTGCAAATATCCTTTGCAGTTCACTAGCACGTAGTTCAGAGCATAACCCTCATGAAAACATTTATTGCTACTTTCTGATGGAGTCAATCCCACTAGTATTTCCTTTTTAAGGAATAGATATATAAGAAATACGTAAAGAAATTTAAGTAATTCTGTCTGTTTACAGTGAGGGTGGTGAGGCGCTGGAACATGTTGCCTAGAGATGTGGTAGATTTCTCATCCCAGGAAACATTCAAGGACAGGTTGGACAGGGCTCTGAAGAACCTGATCTAGTTGATCTCCCTGTTAATGGCAGAGGTGAAAGAGGGTGGACTAGATGGCCTTTAAAGTTCCCTTCCAACCCAAACCATTTCTGTGGTGCTATGATTCTATCAGAATAAGTCTTAGCAAGTGACATCATTGACATGGGTTTTCCTACTGGTAAAATGGTATTTTCACTTTGTAGAAGTACTAATGAAAAAGAGCAATTAACCTTAAATCCAAAGGCAATGTATTAAACAATGTCTCATAGAGTAAAGGATGTAGCCACATAGAAAAACATTTCTTGAACGATGGAAGGAGCAGCGACAGTTTTCCTGGAAAAGTCGTGACATAGATTCTTTTGACCAAGGTAGCCATTCTGGTTTATGCAGAAGTCTGTCACACTGCTCAGAAAGTCAGTTTGTCTGAGGCTGCTTTGGGCTTATTCAATATAAAATCCATCCAGAGGTCTGGTTCCACCTACACACAGAATAATGATGGTCTTTAGATTTGATAGAATAGGGAGAATAATACTCTTTTGCTGTAATGTTATAGTAATGGGGCCAAGTAAATTCTGTCTGCGTGCTGCAGCCCACATATCTTGCTCTCAGCACTACTGTTGTTTTTTCCCATTGGGATTTATCCCCCACGGTTGGCATGCATGTAGTCAGGCGCTTTTCATAAAAGGTGGCTATAATGGTACTGGCTGAATGCTTCTTTCTGAACTCTGCAGTCCTATGATCTGATCCGTGTCACCTTTGAGAGGTGTAACTCTTAGTAGAGACTCTCACCTCCTGTGGTAATGGGGTACTAACAAACTACATGGCTGGGTTGCTGCTACGTAGAATTCTACTTGAGATGGTGTATTTTTCATTCAGCAGTTTCTAGCTAATGTTTTAAACACTCATTCCACTAAAATACATTTCCCCCCCCATAGATTGTAGGACATTCATAATATTTGTATGATAGTATTAAAATGATGCCTTTGCCTTCCTCAGTTCCACTTGGGGCTTTTCCAGGTTCCTTCGCTGGTTATTAGTTGCATTCAGTTACAGCTTTCTTGCTTTTGTGTTTCCCCTTGACTTGGGATTTCTTTATAAGCTAAATTGGACTTGCCAGGAACCCTTTGACTGACAAACTGTTCTACAGCAAACACACAGCTGTTACTCTAATGTGGTTATTAAAGGTGACCTACATTTCACTGTGGTTTGTATTAATTAAAGATCTTTTACTCAGCCTTTCTTTCTTCATTAACATGGGTAGGCAGAACCTTCTCTGACAAAGCTGCCAACAAGTCCTAGGTTTGTTTTTGTTGATAGAAACCTATCACAAACCGTAAAATAAGCATCATATGACACTAATTTTCCCTTGCTGCTGACCTCTGCCATGTATGACTTGGAAGTCTGTTGTGTTACTTCTTTACACCTCTCCCCAAGGTGTATTATCCTGAAGGCCCTCATTGCAAGAATGCCCTTTATTAAATAAAGGAATTTAGAAAAGCTTGAAATCTGTATCCCAGCCTTGGTTTTCCATAACTTCATAAAATAGGTAGCTAGAGTGTTCAGAATGCAATTCATTTTTCTCTAAAGCCTCTTGTTCAGTGTGGAGCCGACATCAGCAGCCAAATTGACAGAGGTGAAATGAGTTACAAGAAATTGAAGCTGAGGATTACAGACTGTGTGTTGAATGTCATAAAAGATTCTCTGCTTACAAAGTGGTTCTCTTGTGTTGTTCAGAAGAGAAGTGAACAGTGTATGTTACAGAGAAACACATGAAAATAAGCACAGCAAAGTTTTGCATGAATACTTGAGAAGAAAAAGTCATTAAGCACCTGGAGGCATTTACTGCAAAATACCCAAACAAACGTGGCTTGATGGTTTAGTGGTAAATGAACAGTATGTCATTTCACTGCATTGGAACAGCACCTGCAATAAAAGGAGAAGGTTGCATTTATTTAGAAAGGGTGAGAGAAAACACATGCAAGACAAATAGGGAATAGAATGTGAATTCAGAATGGACTTGACCTTGGATGCAGGGAGGGATCACCTCCAAACTAGTAGGAGACAGAGCCTCCACAGAATCTGTTATTCTGATCAGACTTGATCGCAGCCTTGCAGGCAGTGCCTGTCAGGCTGACTGACAGCTCAGCCCATCAAGACTGTAAAGACCTGTGAAATCCAAAGCTTCCAACTGTGCCTGGGAGAGTCACTGCACTGCAGCTGGTGGGAGCTGGGAAGGGTGGTGTGAGAAACACTCTTGCCACAGCAGCAGATTTCACTCAGCATGTGGTTTGGGTTGTTGTTGGCTCAGGACACTGGGCTGGATGGATCTGAGCTCTGGCGCTGTCTGCCCATTCTCAGTGTTTGGCTGGTTTGATGCTGGGGAAAGCTCAGCTTTCCTGCACTTGCAGATGTGGAGCACTGGGATGATGGCATTGCTAGCCCTGGCTGTGGGGTTTCAAACAGTATTTGCTTCAACATCCTGTGGGCCAGGTCCACTTGATGCATCCCAGTACTGGTGAGTGATCAGTAACTCCCAATCTCTTGCCCAACTCACTGTTCCACTGGTCCTTCTTCAGAATGAGGTTTTCATGCTGTTCATCCATTTCAGACTGATCTGCTTATTTATTCTTTTTTATTTATTGCTGCAAACAAGGCTGTGTTTTAGGATATTAATTCCAGACAGCTTTTGTCTTAGCATTTTGCACACCTTAAAGCAGCAGTGCAGGGACTTGACTTTTGCCTTTGTGTTTTGTAGAACTTTGTGTAAGACCTTCCTGAGTGGAAGTGGGGAACAGCCCCCCCAAGTGCTGGTCCTCCTGCTGCTGTCTGCTCTGGAGTGA